TGCGATCAAACACTATGATGAGTTGCGGTTCATCGGTCTGTTGCGATCGACCCCTCCGTGTTGCGATACGGGGCAGGGTGCTGCGGGGCCGTGTCAGAGCTATATGCGCTGACCCTCATGTATGGGCATGCGATTCGTCCTGTGGCACCAACAAAGTGTGCTATGTGTTGTGATATGGATGAGTTGTGATTAATGAGTGCCTTGGGGGTTGTGAATATGGGGTTTATGTTGGGGACTGCTTATGTTGGGTTATGATTATTGTTTATGCTTGGCCTTATCTGCTTTATCTATCGTGAACTGCATATGCTCGTTATAACTATTACTTGTACCTGGCCTTATCTGTCGAGTCATTCCCGGTTTTAAAAGCTAGAGTTCGTAGGATATATCTTCATGCTCAAAATGGTTTTCGTATATCTATATATATCTCTATATGTATTGTATCTCAACGCGTTGGAGTGGGTTACCAGCATCTCTCGCTGAACAGATATATTTGGCTTTCAGGCACAGAGGACTAGAGCACTGGAGCGCGCTAGAACTGGAGCATAGAAGTAGATTAGTTTCCCATTCGGCCTGCGTGCCATATTATGCATTGTATTTCGGTGGATATTAGTTAGACAGCCTGTGCACCTGGGTTCTCTAGCCCAGGTGTGGCGTAGCACCCCGTAAACTTATGATATACTTTGGGATGTAATGAGATATTACCTTTATTATATAAGTTTTAAATGTCTTGAAAACCTGGGGTGTTACAGTTGGTATCAAAGCCTAAGTTTGATCCTAGGAAAAGACCCTTAAGACCGGACTTTAGGACGTTAGGCTTGAACTCTAGGTACCTAGGAACGTAGGACTCAGAAATCTTAGGACGCGCGGTGAGATTGTGAAACCTACACATAACTTCCCTACACGTTACCCTTCCCCACTTATCACTTCACAAGAAGTGCATCGGACTCTAACTTAACATTCTTATAAACACTGACCAGAAAGACGATAGCATGGCACCCAACAGAAGGCAATCCAGAACTCCAGAGCCCGCCACCGACGACCCCTTGACCCAAACCCTGCAACAACTAACACAAGTCGCACAGGCACTAAGTGACGCGGCCCTTCGTAACAACAGGTCCCCACCGCCTCCATCAAACGCAAACTCGGACGTCGCCCGACAAGTCTCAAATCACCGACCACCCACGTTTTCGAGAGAAGAAGATCCCGCGGTCCTGGAAGAATGGATCCGGACTCTTGATAAGATTTTTGGGGTAGTAGAATGCCCCGAGGAACGCCGCGTAGAGATAGCCTCGTTCTACTTCGGGCACGAGGCCGATCTCTGGTGGATCCACGAAGGACCCACCTACCAACAAGAACCGGGGTTCAATTGGGAGAACCTCAAGACACGACTACGAGAGAGGTTCTATCCAACCCACGTAAAAGCATCCATGTACGAAGAGTTCCTTCATCTAAAACAAGGAACGACCACCGTCATAGAATACCATAGACGATTCCTCGAACTGGCGCGCTTCGCGCCAGAGCTAGTCCTCACCGAGGTAACCAAGATAGAGAGGTTCGTGTCAGGCCTCAACTTCGAAGCTCGGAAAGCGCTAGTGGTGAGCAGACCTCGGACCCTCAACGAGGCTTATTCCAGTGCCGCGAATCTCTATCGAATCCAACTACTCCAACGCGGGGTTCAGGAACAAATACGAAAAAGAAACACCGGAAGTGGGGCACCGCCAGTGAAAAGAACGAGGAACGACACCGGCACGAGGTCGAACAACCCGACCAACCAAAGGCCGCCCCCGGTAAACAACGAAGCTAATCCAAGAAGCTTCCCTTGCCCGAGGTGTAACAAAATCCACAGAGGCAAGGATTGCGCGGGTAACTGCAGAGAGGAGGGACACAAGGCCTTCCAGTGCACTCGACCCCAAAGACTACGCCCCGCCACCGTGGGTCAACACGGGGGCACCAGTCACCAAGGAGGTTACGGCACTCCCGGAAAAGTATTCGTTATGAGTCACACGCAAGCCAATCTCGGAAACGAAGAAGAGCTAGAAGGGGGAAACCCAATCCCGGAAGACGAGGACCATACGGATCCCACCGAGGAAAACCCAGAAAACGAATTCTGTCTAGGATAAACCATCACACCCCTTGTAACCACCCCCTGTATCGTATAGACCACCTATTTAGCTTAAATACTTCGAAAGCATTATGTCTATTTAGCTTAGCTACTTCGAAAGTATTATGAATAAAGATCTTTGATCAAATTTTAATTCCACTACGATGATGAAGCACAAGTTATACCATCAACCCAACCCTTTCCCCACTAAAGGTCACAATAAGGAAAAAGACAAAGGAGGACCACACCACCAAAAAATGCCTAATGGTGCCAATGGGGATTGAACTCTAGACCTCCCACGTATAGGGCTAAGTTCTTAACCACTAACCCATATATGTTTCTTGAAACCTTAAGGGGATACTCCCTTATTAAACCCCTCCAAGTCCCTAAAACCCACAAAACCCCCAAATCAAAAACCCGTCTTCTTCTTCCTCCCCTTCTTCTTCCCCACTCTTCCCCTTCTCCGCCTCACACACCTCGCCGCCCCACCCCAGCAGAACCGGCGACCACGCACCACCAACCAACCACCGTCGCTGGCCGAACGCCACCGCCAAGCGCCACACCGCCGCGCCGCCGTCCCAGCCGACCTCGCCCACAGCCCGGAGAACACCCAGCGGCGACCCGCTGCCTCCCTACCCGAGCGACGCCGCCCGCCATCCACCCAAGCTCCGCCCGCTGCCATCAAAGCCCACGCGACCGAAGGCCTCCACCGCCCCGCCGGACAACTGCCGAGCTCCGCCCCACTATCGCCACCTTGTAGCGGCTCGAACTACCGCCAGAAAAGAGGCCCGCCGGAAACTTCGCCGGAGACCCGCCGGAAAGCTCGCTGGAAAAGTGCCACCTATCACGATGCCAAAGAAACCCCTCGGAATCTGCACCCCGGAATGGAACCACGCCGATTACACCGTGATCGGCGGTAAAAGTCTCGAACCCGACCAATTCTCTCCGGAATTGGTCGATATGCTTAAACACCAAGGTCTCCTTGATACATACCTCACCATCAAAGGGGATACATACCCCGAGTTGGTGAAGGAGTTCTATCAACTCCTTGTGGCCACCACACGAGGTGACAAGATAGAAATCACCACCAAAGTCCGTGGCAAGGAAATTGTGCTTTCCGAAGGCCGCTTGGCCAAACTCTTGAAATTGACCCCCACGGGTGTGTCTAGCTATGATCGGAAAGGGTGGATTGACACCCCAACTACGGGGTACAAGGACTATCTCGGGTACTTACTCGGGAAAGAGGACGGATTCACCTCGGCCACTCGACCAAACTGAAAGTGGCTATCGGCGGAGAAAAAGATATTGGTTATGATTGTAACCGATAGCCTCTTGCCCACCAATAACAAGAGCAAGGATGTGGGGAGCTTGGAGTGCACCTTTGCGTATCTCCTAAAACATAAAATCAAGTTCAACCTACCGGCCCTCATGCTAAAGCACATGGAATTCTGTAAAATGAACAACCGGCTTAGCCTACCCTACGGGATGATCCTGAGTTGGATCATGGAGAAAAAGGGGGTGGACCTAAGCCACACCGAGTTCAAAACCGCCAACGGCATGGTTTTCAATGCCCAAAACCTCCGCCGCAACGACATCTACTACACCGAGGGAGGACATTACCTCACCCTCGAAGAAATTTGCCAAAAACCCGAGGAAGAACGAAGAGAATTGGTTGACCGGTTGGACATCTCCAACAAGAAGCTCAAGCGAGCCATGCAGGATTGTGAGGGCTCGGAGGGAAATGAAGAGTAGGAGGAGGATGACGGGCCTAACCCGTCAGGGCAACCACGATCAGGAGGGGACCCGAGGGGACAAAACAAGGGTTCAGTCAATGAGCGCATACTCGCACAGCTAAACCAACAAAACCAAATCATGGAAGAAGGGTTCTCATCCTTGATTCGCACCACGCGCGCACTCGATCAGAGGGTGGCAGCAATCGAGGCCGCCTTGGGCACTCGTGGGGCGTCCAGTTCCAGCGCAGGAAACCGAGGTACACCCAGAACTTCTCTATCACAACACCACCAAAAGCACAGCCTACCCCGAACCAAGGAAAACGTAGGGCCACCTTCCTACCCAGGAGGCCGAGACACGAGATGTCCAGGGTGAAAGGATGGACTATAACACCGGGCTTCGGGGACGAAGCCCCTTGTAAGGGGGGGAGAGTGTAACACCCCGTGTTACGGCCCCTAAGACCAATTAAGTAATTAATCAATAGCCCATGAGAAAGAATAAATTATAATGATTAATTTGGGAAAAAGGCCCACCATAGTCCGTGGGCCCTCATCTCTAAACCCAACCCCTAATCCCGATAGGATTAGACTGTGATACCACGGTTATTTGGAACATTTTGTTGTAAATATAATTGTTTTTATGATTATTTATATGGTGGTTCTATAGTATTTGATATACTAGGTATGTAAATAATTAAATTATAGTACATTTATTATACGATGTGTACTTGCTTATTATATATGTGATATTTGTATGTAGTACGTGTATTGCAATATATATTATATATTATTATTATTATTATTATTATTATTATTATTATTATTATTATTATTATTATTATTATATAGTAAGTATATGTATATACTTATATAATATGTTGTGTATAAGATAGTGAATTTGGCCTACGTAGAGTCTAGATTCGTTTAGCATGTGGATTAATCTAGATAGACAAATCACCACAAAATCATCTCTTTTAAATTAATATAATTATGATAATTCATCTATTAACCTCAATTAGTTATTTTCTATCAATATTAATATTGATTATTGACCAAGGATTATTTCTCATCTACCTCTCTTGGGTGTGGCCAAAATTCTTCTCAATCCTACTTCCTCTCTCTTGGCCGAAAAGTCTTCTTCTTCTAGCAAGCTGGAAAATCGATTATATGAAATTGTGGTGTGCAGTAGATTATATTGTTTTTGATGACTTCTAATTGGGTAAGATTTATGTCTACTCAAAATTCTTTTACCCCAAATCAAAACTGATTTTTCCAAAGTGTTTATGTGAAAATAATTTTCCTCAAAAAAACAATTTTGTTATTTTTGAATAATTGCTATTTGATTCACGATCTTCGTGAATATTATATTCATATGAAAATTGATTGATGATTCCGTGAAATTGAGTACATGAAATTGTATGCTTGTATATGTATCTGTCTAAATATAAGTCTATTAGCCTAACATGTTTAATTAGTACGAATATATGTTTAAATGGTGAAGTAGTGTTTGAAAACATAATTAAATATAAAGTATATGATTGTGGGCCATTGTGCACAGTAGGTACAAATGTATATAATTAACGTGTAATTGTTTGTTCTGTATATCTATTGCTATCGTGTGTGATTCAAAGTATTTTAGCTAAGCCTAATAATGATTATGCCAAAGGATTGAGTGGCTATGGATTCTGTGTATATAGCGTGTAGTGTATGTCTGTATACATGCACAGTTGCTTTAGTGTTATATAGATTGTGTATATTTGGATATATGGGGGAGTATGGTAGGTCGTATACACCTATTTTTGAGTATGGTGGAGTAAACAAATTAATTGGCATGAAAATAATATTTAATTAATTTTGGTCATGGAAGATTTGTACGTGGATTATTATTGTGAGGTTGGTCTCTCACATTTGATTATGGAACCAGTGTAGGGTTGGTCTCTCACATTTTGTTATGGATCTTGTGGGGTTGGTCTCTCACATTTGATTCTGGAATATTATTATTATACCTTGTGGGGTTGGTCTCTCACAATCGAGTTCGTTCTACCCATTGGGGTTGGTCTCTCAATGGGGGTATGCATACTTAAGGGATTGATCTCGTGCCAACTGGGTTGGTCTCTAGTTGGTTGGTTTTGGTCACCGGGGCCGAAGTAATGGTCCTTGCCTTGTATTTCTCCTCCTCATTGACTTGGTGGTAATAAATGATTAAATCCTAATGTTGAGAAAAGTGGTAAAATGTGGAAGTTGTGGAATTTTATGTGAAATTATAAATTATATTTCATGTGGTTGAACTGGTAACTGGTAATTAAATGTGAAGAAGTGGTATGAGGGAATGTTGCAAGTATAATTATGATTAAGGAGTTTATGTGGAATTATGCGCTCCAAGGTGTTATGTGTTATGTGAAAAATGTTTTACAGGGTGGAGTAAGTCTTACCAGCTGTTGTATGCTGAATTTGTTCCCCCTTTAGTTTCTTTTGCAGGTACATCTTGTATGACATTTGGAGCATGAGAGCGATTCATCTTTTAGAGCTTTGAAGTTTTATTTTGTTAGAATATTTAGAAGTTGTTTCTAGACAATTGTAATTTTACTCTTAATGAACTAGTATTAATATTGGGTAGTTTTAGTAGTGTTGTTTTAGCCTGTGCGTTTGGATGAATGTTGTTATCTAAACGTGGCGGTAGCATCCCTTTTTCCTTGTTTTGCTTAGCTTCCGCAATTAGATAATGATATTTTAATCAAATAAATGCCTTTTAATAAGTTAATTTGATTTTGGAAAATGGGGGTGTTACATAGACCCTTAATAAGACCCCTAGATCTATAAATAGGGAACTTAGGAGACACCCAGAATTCCCACCACAATAATCTCTCACCACCCAAAGAGTTCCAAGAACCCCCTTAGGAGAAATCAAGAAATCAAGAAAGCTTAAAGAAAGATCCTTCATAGCCAAGGAATTAATTAAGGCTAAGAGGTAACCCATGTCTCAACAAAACCTATTTTCATAGCTATGATTCCCCCTTAGGGTTTCCCCCATATTATTGTGAATGGCGAGATATTATGATCATTATTGATGTTTGATGTGATGATCCCATGAGGGATCTTGATAATCTTGATATTGGGAGATTCTTGATAATTATGGAGTTCTTGATGATTATATGGAGTTCTTGATGATTATGTGTTGTTCTTGATAATGGTGTGATGTTCTTGATGCTTATGTGTTATTCTTACAGAATCTTGCAATTAGAAGACGAATCGTATTCTTGTTGATATAAAAGTGATTAGAACCCTAGGTTGTATCGTATGATATTATTCTTGGATTATCGGGTGGGGAAATCGCATGTTCTGGTGTTGATTATGTTTAGAAAAGCATGATAGGTTATGTGCCGTTCGTTCCTCGTATTTGATCCGTTAATTGTCTACGTGTTGTCGTTAATTGCGTTGTAAAGTGTCTAAGCATGGTTTCGGGTTCCACAACGGCCCCCCACCCACCGGCTACCCGCTGGAAATTTGTCCCACCCGGGACCCCGGCTTCCCCGATTGATGTTCCCCGTTCCCCGTGGTGTCCCAACGGACTCCGTTTATCGTGCCTATGTCTAGTTTGATATTTCGGGTACCGTTCGTAGTTTTATGAGTCTATTATATTGCATGCTAGTTGAATTGGTATCCCGTTGACCTAGGTGGAAGGAGTATGAACCCGTTAGGACTATTCTTAGTATGTGATGGATCACGCATAGGCTTTGTTATACGTTTTATTCCCCTTCCCAATGTGTAATGTGGGTTGCACGTGCCTGCTGTGTGTTATGTGTGTGTGTTACCCCAATTCGGTTGCGATCGGATTGGTTATCCTGAGCTGCGGTTCAGAAGCTGGCTGCGGTCAGATTGATTCTCTTGGGCTGCGGTCCACCATTTGGTTGCGATCAAACGTTTCTATACGAGCTGCGGTTCGTCCTCTTTCCTGGCTGCGATCAGATGACATTCTCTTGGGCTGCGATCCACTGTTTGGTTGCGATCAAACACTATGATGAGCTGCGATTCATCGGTCGGTTGCGATCGACCCCTCCGTGTTGCGATACGGGGCAGGGTGCTGCGGGGCCGTGTCAGAGCTATATGCGCTGACCCTCATGTATGGGCCTGCGATTGGTCATGTGGCGCCAACAAAGTGTGCTATGTGTTGTGATGTAGATGAGTTGTGATTAATGAGTGCCTTGGGGGTTGTGACTATGGGGTTTATGTTGGGGACTGCTTATGTTGGGTTATGATTATTGTTTATGCTTGGCCTTATCTGCCTTATCTATCGTGAACTGCATATGCTCGTTATAACTGTTGCTTGTGCCTGGCCTTATCTGTCGAGTCATTCCCGGTTTTAAAAGCTAGAGTTCGTAGGATATATCTTCACGCTCAAAATGGTTTTCGTATATCTATATATATCTCTATATGTATTGTATCTCAACGCGTTGGAGTGGGTTACCAGCATCTCTCGCTGAACAGATATATTTGGCTTTCAGGCACAGAGGACTAGAGCACTGGAGCGCGCTAGAACTGGAGCGTAGAAGTAGATTAGTTTCCCTCTCGGCCTGCGTGCCATATTATGCATTGTATTTCGTTGGATATTAGTTAGACAGCCTGTGCACCTGGGTTCTCTAGCCCAGGTGTGGCATAGAACCCCGTCACTTATGATATACTTAGGGATGTAATGAGATATTACCTTTATTATATAAGTTTTAAATGTCTTGAAAACCTGGGGTGTTACAGTTATTATTGATGATTGATGTGATGATCCCATGGGGGATCTTGATAATCTTGATGTTGGGAGATTCTTTATAATTATGGAGTTCTTGATGATTATATGGAGTTCTTGATGATTATGTGTTGGTCTTGATAATTGTGTGATGCTCTTGATGTTTATGTGTTATTCTTACCGAATCTTGCAATTAGAAGATGAATCGTGTTCTTGTTGATATAAAAGTGATTAGAACCCTAGGTTGTATCGTATGATATTATTCTTGGATTGTCGGGTGGGGAAATCGCATGTTTGGGTGTTGATTATTTTTAGAAAAGAATGATAGGTTATGTGTCGTTCGTTTCTCGTGTTTAATCCGTTAATTGTCTACGTGTTGTCATTAATTGCGTTGTAAAGTATCTAAGCAAGGTTTCGGGTTCCACAACGGTTCCCGGGGCGTAAAAGTGATGAAAAGAGTCAGTGGGGGGTAGGGGACCCGCCACTTACCCACGGCCGTGAAACACCGCCCGGCAGCGGGTAGCCGGCGGGCGGGCAGCTGCCCGCCGGCGACCCGCTGCCCGGAACAGTAGAAACCGGCGGGCAGCCGGCCGGTTGCCCCCACCCACCAGCTACCCGCTGGAATTTATCCCAGCCGGGACCCCGACTTCCCCGTTTGATGTTCCCCCGTTCCCCGTGGTGTCCCAACAGACTCCGTTTATCGTGCCTATGTCTAGTTTGATATTTCGGGTACCGTTCGTAGGTTTATGAGTCTATTATATTGCATGCTAGATGAATTGGAATCCCGTTGACCTAGGTGGAAGAAGCATGAACCCCTTAGGACTATTCCTAGTATGTGACGGATCACGCATAGGTTTTGTTATACGCTTTCTCCCCCTTCCCAATGTGTAATGTGGGTTGCATGTGCTTGCTATGTGTTATGTGTGTGTGTTACCCCAATTCGGTTGCGATCGGATTGGTTATCCTGAGCTGCGGTTCAGAAGCTGGCTGCGGTCACATTGATACTCTTGGGCTGCGGTCCACCGTTTGGTTGCGATCAAATGTTTCTATACGAGCTGCGGTTCGTCCTCTATCCTGGCTGCGGTCAAATGACATTCTCTTGGGCTGCGGTCCACTGTTTGGTTGCGATCAAACACTATGATGAGCTGCGGTTCATCGGTCGGTTGCGATCGACCCCTCCGTGTTGCGATACGGGGCAGGGTGCTGCGGGGCCGTGTCAGAGCTATATGCGCTGACCCTCATGTATGGGCATGCGATTGGTCCTGTGGCGCCAAAAAAATGTGCTATGTGTTGTGATATGGAGGAGTTGTGGTTATGAGTGTCTTGGGGAACGTGACTATGGGATTTATGTTGGGGATCGTTTATGCTGGGTTATGATTATTGTTATGCTTTGCCTTATCTGCTTTATCTATCGTGAACTGCATATGCTTGTTATAACTGTTGTTGGTGTCTGGCCTTATCTGTCGAGTCATCCCCGGTTTTAAAACAAGAGTTCGTAGGATATATCTTCATGCTCCAAATGGTTTTTGTATATCTATATATATATCTATATGTATTGTATTTCAACGCGTTGGAGTGAGTTACCAGCATCTCTCGCTGAACAGATATATTTGGCTTTCAAGCACAGAAGATTAAGTCACTGGAGCGCGCTAGAACTTGGAGTGTAGAAATAGATAGTTTCCCTTTTGGCCTACGTGCCACGTTTACGTATTTACGCTTTGAGGATATTAGTTAGTTAGCCTGTGCACTTGGGTTCTCTAGCCCAGGTGTGGCATAGCACCCCGAACGCTTGTATTTATATCTTGGGATTTAATAAGATTCTACCTTTATTATAAGTTTTAAATGTCTTGAAAATCTGGGGTGTTGCAGTTGATATCAGAGCCTAAGTTTGACCCTAGGAAGAGACTCTTAAGACCGGACTTTAGGACATTAGGCTTGAACTCTTGGTACTTAGGGACATAGGCCTTAGGAACCTTAGGACGCGCGGTGAGATTGTGAAACCTACACATCACCTCCCCTCACTTCATCCCTCTCTAATAATAAGAAACTCTCATTCACTTATTACATCACGGTGAAAACACAAAATAATATCAACCTTTAACCACCAGGATGGCATCCAAGAAGAAACAGACAGGAACACCGAGGCGCCCTACTCAGGAATTCCTGACTCAGAATCTACAACGCCTGGCCCAAATTGCCCAGGCACTAAGAACTGTCACCTCCCGACCTCTACCAACGAACGAGAACTCGGAAATCCACCACCAAGTCTCGGCACACCAACCACCCACCTTCCCGGGAAACGAAGACCCCTCGGCCCTCGAAGGATGGATTGAGACCTTCGACAAGGTATTCAGGGCAACCCAATGCCCCGAACACCACCAAGTCAGGATAGCCTCCTTCTACTTCAGACACGAGGCCGACATCTGGTGGGCCCGTGAGGGACCTACGTACGAACGAGACCCCGGATTCAACTGGGAAGGCCTAAAAACACGGTTACGAGAACAGTTCTACCCCAACCACCTGAAAGCCGCCACATGTGAGGAATTCCTCCATCTAAGACAAGGGGCAGCCCCAGTCTCAGAATACTACCAACGATTCTGCCGGCCGGCTCGCCTCACCCCCGAACTAGTATCCACCAAGGGGATCAAAGTCAGGAAATTCTTAGCAGGCCTTAACCCCGAACACCAGAGGGCCTTAGCCGCCCAAGAACCAAAGACCCTCGGAGAGGCCTATGCCAAGGCATGTCAACTACAACAGGTAACGAACCCGCCCCAAGGGACGCAACTGGGGTATAAAAGGAAGCCCGAAAGAAGTCATCCAATTCCCACCAGAGAGCCTTAGAACCCCAAAACCACCTCACTTGACCAGGCGATCACGCCGACTACCCAGGGAAGGATCCTTACCCTAAGCAAGGCCAGGATCGGTGATAGCAACATAGTCTCCGGAACCTTCCTAGTGCACGCCACCCCAGCCACCATACTATTTGACTCGGGGGCTACCAACTCATTTATAGCAACCGAGTTCGCCGCCCAGCTCGGCCTTAACGCCAGCACCAAGGTCCGACTCTAAGTCAAGGTGGCCTCGGGCGAGATCATAAAATGTGATCGCATGTACGAGCATGTAATGATCACCATTCAAGGAGTGGAATTTCCCAACAACCTAATCCAGTTCCAACTGGATGGGATGCAAGTAATATTGGGCATGGACTGGCTAGGGAAATTCCAAGCACAAATCCTGTGTGGAGAGCAGAAAGTGGTCCTACGAGGACCAAACGGTAAGAGGGTGTTGTACCGCGGTACCCGCCAGGATCCGGGGATCAAGCTTGTAAACATGATGAAAATTAAGAAGTATCTGGGCCAAGGAAACGAGGCCTTCTTATGCTCAGTCAAAGACCTCGACGCCAAATTACTCGAACCACACGCCATCCCAGTGGTAAACGAGTTCACCGACGTCTTCCCAGACGAAATCCCCGGGGCACCCCCGGCCAGAGAGGTCGAGTTCACCATAGACCAAATACCGGGCGCCGCCCCAATCTCTAAACCGCCCTACAGACTAGCACCAAGGGAAATGAAGGAATTGAAAACGCAACTCCAAGAACTGCTAGATAAGGGTTATATCCGACCCAGCACCTCCCCATGGGGAGCACCGGTACTATTCGTTAAGAAAAAGGATGGGAGCATGCGCCTGTGCATCGACTACAGGGAACTCAACCAAGTTACAATAAAGAATAGGTACCCCCTTCCCCGGATAGATGACTTATTCGACCAACTTAAAGGGGCAGGGGTTTTCTCAAAGATCGACCTAAGATCCGAGTATCATCAAATCCAAGTGGCCAAACCAGACATCCAGAAAACAGCCTTCCGGACACGTTACGGCCACTACGAGTTTACCGTAATGCCCTTCGGCCTCACTAACGCGCCCGCCATATTCATAGACCTCATGAATCGAGTATTCCGACCTCACCTGGATGACTTCGTCATTGTGTTCATTGACGGCATCCTAGTCTACTCCCGAAACAAAGAAGAACATGAGAAGCACCTTCGCATATCACTACAAACCCTCAGAGAAAACCAACTTTACGCTAAATTCTCCAAGTGCGAATTCTGGCAAGACAGCGTAGCCTTCTTAGGCCACGTGATAACCAAAGAGGGGACTAGGGTGGACCCCGCTAAGATTCGCGCCGTTAGGGAATGGACCATGCCGAGCTCACTCTCGGAAGTCCGAAGCTTCCTGGGCCTGGCTGGTTACTACAGGAGGTTTGTACCCGACTTCACCAAGATAGCCCAACCCCTCATTAAGCTCATGAAATAGGAAACCCCCTTCCGATGGGACAACGACTGCATCTCAGCCTTCCAAGAATTAAAGGACAAACTAACCACGGCACCCGTGCTAGCCATCCCCTCCGGGAAGGAAGGATTCGAGGTCTACAACGACGCATCCAAGAAAGGGTTGGGATGCGTGCTGATGTAAAAGGGCAAGGTAATAGCATACGCATCCAGACAACTCAAAACCCACGAAGAGAATTACCCCATCCATGACCTCGAACTAGCCGCTATCGTATTCGCACTGAAAATCTGGAGACACTACCTGTATGGGGTACAATGCAAAATCTACACCGACCATAAAAGCCTAAAGTAAATCTTCACCCAGAAGGACCTAAACATGAGACAACGAAGGTGGCTAGAACTCATAAAAGACTACGACCTAGACATCCAATACCACGAGGGAAAAGCCAACTTCGTGGCGGACGCCCTAAGCCGAAAAACGAACCATTCCCTCAACACCACGTGGGTCCTACCGGACCAACTGTACAGGGACTTCGAAAAGCTACACTTAGAAATAATAGAGCAAGGGCAAACTCGCCCCAATGCCTACCTACTCAACACGCAAGCCATACCCACCCTCTTCGAGGAAATCAAGACAGGGCAACAACAGGACCCGAAACTAAATAGAATTCACCGCGACCTAACCCAAGGGAAGGAAGGCCCCTTCGAAGCACACCCGGACGGCAGCCTCCGTTACAAAGGAAGGTGGTGTGTGCCCTCAACGCACCCTCACTTGAAACAACGGGTCTTAGAGGAAGGGCACAACTCCCCATACTCAGTTCACCCAGGAGGCGACAAGTTATACCAAGATGTAAGGAGATCGTTTTGGTGGCCAAACATGAAGAAGGAAATCGCAGATTTCGTGGCCAAATGCGTAAATTGCCAAAGGGTAAAGGCCGAACGATGCAAGCCCAAGGGGCTCGTGCAACCCCTTGAAATACCACAAGGAAAATGGGATTCCATATCCATGGACTTCGTCGGAGGGTTACCCCCAACAAGAACCGGCAAGGACAAAATCTGGGTCATAGTGGATCGGCTGACCAAAACAGCATGATTCATTGCCATGAAGGAATCATGGACAATGACGCAACTAGCCCAAGCCTAAATAAACCGGGTAGTAAAATATCACGGAGTCCCCCGAAACATTGTGTCCGATAGAGATTCCAGGTTCCTCTCGCAATTCTGGAAATCGCTGCAATCGGCGTTGGGGACGCAACTAAAACTAAGCACAGTCTTCCACCCCACCACAGACGGCCAAACCGAGAGAACCATCCAGACTCTCGAGGACATGCTAAGAGCCTGCACGCTAGACTTCCGAGGGACATGGGAAGAACACCTAGACCTCATCGAGTTCTCCTACAACAACAGCTACCACGCGAGCATTCGCATGGCACCCTACGAAGCACTATACGGTCAGAAGTGTAGAACCCCCTTATGTTGGGAAGAAATGGTCAACCCGGTAACGCTGGGCCCCCAATACCTACATGACACCATAGCTAAGGTCAAACACATCCAGTAAAGGATGAAGGCCGCCCAAGACCGCCAGAAGTCTTACGCCGACCTAAAGAGGAAACAAGCCGAATTCAACCTCGGGGACAAGGTCTGGCTGAGGATCTCGCCCACACGAGGAGTAATGAGGTTCGGGAGAAAAGGGAAACTCAGCCCTCGATTCATCGGCCCTTACGAAATCATAGAGAGAATCGGGGACTTGGCTTACCGCCTCGCCTTACCCATCGAACTAGAACGAGTACACAACAAGTTCCACGTATCTCAGCTAAAGAAATACATACATGATCCAAGCCACGTACTCCAACCCGAGGTCGTAGACCTCGACGAGTCACTAGTATACGAAGAGAAACCCGTAAGAATCCTGGACACCAAGACAAGAAACACTCGGAACCGAGCCATAGAAATGGTGAAAGTCCTCTGGACCAACCACGGGACCGAGGAAGCAACATGGGAACTTAAGGACACCATGAAGGAGCGGTATCCCGAGCTTTTCAGACCAGGTAACTAAGAGAAAACCTTTCACCAAGGGCCAAGCTTCGGGGACGAAGCTTCCTGTTAAGGGGGGGGGGGAGTGTAACACCCCGTGTTACGAGTCCTAAAACCAATTAATTATTTTAACCATCTACCCAAAAAGAAAGGAAATAAATCACAATGATTAATTAGCATTAAGCCCACCATGGTCCACGGGCCCCCCATCTCTAAGCCCAATCCCTAATCCTAGGAGAATTAGACCCCATAGCATATAAATAGGGAATTTAGAAGGCATCTAGAATCCCCACCACAATAATCTCTCACCACCCAAAGAGTTCCAAGAATCCCCTTAGGAGAAATCAAGAAATCAAGAGAGCTTAAAGAAAGATCCTTCATAGCCAAGGAATTAATTAAGGCGAAGAGGTAACCCATGTCTCAACAAAACCTATTTTCATAGTTATGATTCCCCATTAGGGTTTCCCCATATTATTGTGTATTAATGATTGATGATGGTTATTATTGATGATTGATGTGATGATCCCATGGGGGATCTTGATAATCTTGATGTTGGGAGATTCTTGATAATTATGGAGTTATTGATGATTATATGGAGTTCTTGATGATTATGTGTTGTTCCTGATAATTGTGTGATGCTCTTGATGTTTATGTGTTATTCTTACCGAATCTTGCAATTAGAAGACGAATCGTGTTCTTGTTGATATAAAAGTGATTAGAACCCTAGGTTGTATCGTATGATATTATTCTTGGATTCTCGGGTGGGGAAATCGCATGTTTGGGTGTTGATTATGTTTAGAAAAGCATGATAGGTTATGTGCCGTTCGTTTCTCGTGTTTGATCCGTTAATTGTCTACGTGTTGTCGTTAATTGCGTTGTAAAGTGTCTAAGCATGGTTTCGGGTTCCACAACGGTTCCTGGGGCGTAAAAGTGATGAAAAGAGTCAGTGGGGGGTAGGTGGGGAGTAGGGGACCCGCCACCTACCCACGGCCGTGAAACACCGCCCGGCAGCGGGTAGCCGGCGGGCGGGCTGCTGCCCGCCGGCGACCCGCTGCCCGGAACAATAGAAATCTGCGGGCAGCCGGCGGGTGGCCCCCCACCCACCGGCTACCCGCTGGAATTTATCCCACCCGGGACCCCGGCTTCCCCGTTTGATGTTCCCCCGTTCCCCGTGGTGTCCCAACGGACTCCTTTTATCGTGCCTTTGTCTAGTTTGATATTTCGGGTACCGTTCGTAGGTTTATGAGTCTATTATATTGTATGCTAGTTGAATTGGTATCCCGTTGACCTAGGTGGAAGAAGCATGAACCCCTTAGGACTATTCCTAGTATGTGATGGATCACGCATAGGTTTTGTTATACGCTTTCTCCCCCTTCCCAATGTGTAATGTGGGTTGCATGTGCTTGCTATGTGTTATGTATGTGTGTTACCCCAATTCGGTTGCGATCGGATTGGTTATCCTGAGCTGCGGTCAGATTGATACTCTTGGGCTGCGGTCCACCGTTTGGTTGCGATTAAATGTTTCTATACGAGCTGCGGTTCGTCCTCTTTCCTGGCTGCGGTTAGATGACATTCTCTTGGGTTGCGGTCCACTGTTTGGTTGCGATCAAACACTGACGAGCTGCTTTTCATCGGTCGGTTGCGATCGACCCCTCCGTGTTGCGATACGGGGCAGGGTGCTGCGGGGCCGTGACAGAGCTATATGCGCTGACCCTCATGTATGGGCATGCGATTGGTCATGTGGCGCCAACAAAGTGTGCTATGTGTTGTGATTTGGAGGAGTTGTGGTTATGAGTGTCTTGGGGAACGTTGACTATGGGATTTATGTTGGGGATCGTTTATGCTGGGTTATGATTATTTTTATGCTTTGCCTTATCTGCTTTATCTATCGTGAACTGCATATGCATTTTATAACTATTGTTGGTGTCTGGCCTTATCTGTCGAGTCATCCCCAGTTTTAAAACTCGAGTTCGTAGGATATATCTTCATGCTCTAAATAGTTTTTTTTAAATCTATATATATCTCTATATGTATTGTATTTCAACGCGTTGGAGTGGGTTACCAGCATCTCTCGCTGAACATATATATTTGGCTTTCAGGCACAGAAGAATAAGTCACTAGAGCGCGCTAGAACTTGGAGTGTAGAAATAGATAGTTTCCCTTTTGTCCTGCGTGCCACGTTTACGTATTTACGCTTTGAGGATATTAGTTAGTTAGCCTGTGCACTTGGGTTCTCTAGCCCAGGTGTGGCATAGCACCCCGAACGCTTGTATTTATATCTTGGGATTAATAAGATTCTACCTTTATTATAAGTTTTAAATGTCTTGAAAATCTGGGGTGTGGCAAGGAGTGTCCAAATGAGGTTATTCCAGTGGATATGGTTCGAAAAAGTCAAGGGCTAAAACTTTGGTGAAGGAAAGAAAGGAAAATTCGCAACAATGCAAGCCACAACATGCGTTGTTGGGAAGGCCGAAAGTACAACGAATTTCACAACGCACGTTGTGAGATTAGTTGTGATGCCAGCGCGGAAAATTTAGAATTTCAGTCTATTTAAAGACTTGTAAGGGGATCACTTATGTAACACCCCGTGTTACGGCCCCAAAATTAAAATTAATTTAATTATCACCCACCCCAAAAGGGGAATTAAAATCCATTAATTAGTTAAAAAGGGGTCCACTATGGGTCATGGGCCCTTATCCCTAAAACCAATCCCCTAGTCCCATAAGAAATAGAATTAACAAACCCATACCACTTAGACCCTAATTAGGACTCTTAGGTATATAAATAGGGACATAGGAGGCACCTAGATCTTAAACCACAATAATCTCTCACCATACAAGAAGTTCCAAGAATCCCCTTAGGAGAAATCAAGAAAGAAGAAAGCTTAAAGAAAGACCGTTCATAGCCAAGGAAATTAATTAAGGCTAAGAGGTAACCCATCTCCTTCCTTGGCCTCCCTCTATATTCTTGTGTCTTGATGAATTCTTTTATGATAATTGTGTTATGTTCTTGATGATTTGTGCTTTCTTGATAATCTTGGTGATCTTAATGTCGAAAAGAAGTTCTTGATTTTGGTATGATGATTATTAACGAATCTTAATATTTCTTGATGATAAAGATAAAATATGATCTTGATGATTTGGGTGGGATTAGAGCCCTAGGTTGGATTGGGAATTTGTATTGTAATGTTCTTGATTTATAATTGGGTGGGAATTCATATGTTCGGGTGTTGCTTGTATTTAGAAGTCGTGATAGGATGAGCTATATGTGATTCTTGCTTTTGATCCGTTATTTGACTACATGGTGTCGTTAATTGCGTTTAAAAGTGTTTAAGCACGGTTCCGGGTTCCACAAGGGATCCCGGGACGAAATATTGATGAATGAGTCAGTGGGGGTAGGTGAGGGTAGGGGTACCCGCCACCTACCCGCTGCCCGAAGATCACCGCTGGGCAGCGGGCAGGCGCCGGGCAAGCGTCCGCCCGCCGGCAACCCCCTGCCGGGCAGTGATCTCCAGCGGGCAGCCGGCGGGTGATCCCTCACCCACCGGCTACCCGCTGGTTCGTGACCCACTACGGGTCCCCAGGTCCCCGGCTTCCCCGTTTGATGTCCCCCATTCCCCGTGGCTTCCCAACGGACCCCATTTATCGTGCCTGAGTCTAGTTTGATGTTTCGGGTACCGTTCGTAGGATAATTGAATCTTAGGAATTGCATGCTAGTTGAATTGGTAGCCCGTTGACCTGGGTGGAAGTCGTATGAACCCCTTAGGACGATTCTTAGTATGTGAATGATCACACGTAAGTTTA